ATTTTCATTTTATATTTCATTCTGTATGCTACTTCTGAAGAACCGACGAAAAGAATTGGCCCTTCACGTTTTCCGGAAATCCCTAGAACAACGCTCACAAAAGGTAATTAATGAACTATCATTTCAGTTGTAGGCCGATATGGTTCATGGGTGAATGGAGTGCTTCTCATCGCTATATGGCCATAGGTGATCACATGTGGGCAGGGTTATTTGTGGTCTCTCCCAGTTTGTCGCTTTTTTTAATCATGCTCAAAACTGACTTCTCCATTTCAATTGCGCTCCCTTTCCACCTATGCGACCCTGGTTTGGAGTCCCGCCAGGCTCTCTGTCGTATGATAGTAGAGTTGCTTATTGGTTCTCTCCTTTGCTTTGAGGGCTCACCGATTTACATGGATGAGGAGACGATCTGTTGAAATGCCACTGTTAAATCCATCTTATTTTTATTTTTATTATAATCAGTTACGCTATCTGCTTTATGCATGGGGTCACTACCAGATTCCCTTAACCACTTCATTTTCTCAATAGCACGCACTGAATACGGCGTACAATTTGCTATCGCAAAAAAAAAGTGATTTTAATTTTCTTCACGTCCAAAGAGTGTTGTCATGTCGTGGAACAAAATTTTTTTAATAGGCACATGACTACGTAATGTCATAGAAAACTTTATTAATCAAAACACTTGCTGTCAACAAGTAAGCAACATTTCTCTTGTGCGTGCTTTCGACAAGTAAGAACCACTTTCTCTTGCCACTTTTCTCAGACAATGTAATAATAAAATAATGCACCCATTATATAAAGCTGCATTTTAACTCAACTTTTAAATTGATTATTTTTTGTTGTTGTTGTTATTTTAGTTATAGAAAGGGAGGTTCATACAAAAAATGGCAAGCCGAATAATGGTATCTGCATAACAGTTATCGATAAGCCCAAATTATAATATCTCTTAAACAGGATAGCCTGAATGCGTTAACTCATATCTCTTTTCTTGCTGACCAAGTCTTTCTAACAATCCTGCACATGCTTTGGAGAAGTGGACTTGCTATTTATTTACATTTCTTCTCGTTTTTACCCTTCTCAATTAATATATTATATAATAAACTTAAATACACCCAATGTTTTTTTTTTCCTTTCTTCTACTATTTCAGGCCCAAAGGAGGACCCAGTGTACTCTAGTGGTCATATAATCATATACATTGCAGTTACGGTTGCAGTGGTGGTTCTCTCGGTATTCATAAGTGCTTTTCTACTGTACAAAGTAAGTACTGATTGACACTAGTAGACACTGGAAAAATGTTCTGGTATAATACGGTTATATATATTACTTCTTTTCTTCCCAATCAACTTTATACAGGCTAACGTATATATACTCTGTAACTGTAATTTTTTTCCATGTGACGTCATCTAAAAACCAATATCGGAACTATTCATCGTATCAAGAAGTTTATAGAATGGGTTTTAGAAATCAATGCATGATATTAGGGTCATGAGAAAGTTTCCAGTAATTTAGATATTTGGTTCGCGAGTTATGAATATAGATCGAATTTGAGTCATGCAATACCGTCAAGTGCATCTGAATACAATGAAGATTTAAATATTTTACGCTAATGAACGTTTTTCCTTAGACACATTTGCCTTAGACACATTACCATCAAAAGTGTTGAATATTCTATCATCTTTTTTTAAACCCTTTGAAGTTAGGTTCGCCAAGTCGGTGTACCTCAGTGGAATGCCTCACCAACGATAATATCACTTCACAAGTCTTAGACAAAGATGACGTCTTGTTTTCTTGCCCATGGTTATATATATATATATATATATCATGTTATATATATATATATATACACACCGAATCGCTAAAACTTTGACACTTTAACGATAGACATACATATATGTGCCCAATTGCAGAAACGTCGTAGTATACATTTATACATATATCTAATATATTCAGTATATTTAATGATATGCCAAACAGAAAAAAATCGCTTTACTTAGTATTTGTTTCATTCAATGATGACTCTCAAAATATTTTTTTCTTGTCTATTATACATTTATACATATATCTAATTTATTCAGTATATTTAATGATATGCAAAACAGAAAAATCGCTTTATTTATCGTTTGTTTCATTCAATGAACGTCAAAATATTTTATTCTCGTGTTTTACATCCTACAGATTATAAATCAATTGGTTYTGAGGGTTAAAAAAGTAAAATTGCAATATGCATCTGATTACGTATTTGTATAAATGTATAAATTTATACTACAACGTTTCTGCAATCGAGTGTATATATATATATATATATATCAACATAATGCTAAATTACTCTTTTAAATTTCATAATTGCGTTGTACTTATATAAATTAGGTTAAAACCAGTGATACTTGTTAAAATTCTTGAAATATTTAAATTATGCTAAAGTTTATATCTAAATGTGGTGAACAATGAAACATTTTGATTTACTGATCATGTTTGAACAAGCCACCACTCTACTCCCCCTTCTCACATACTCGCATCTCCATATTCCTAGACTTTTTTTCTAGTAATTCTTTCCTCAATAATTTTTATTTTTAATTTTAGTTACAGAGAAATCTGCTAAAGATAAAAAGAATAAGAGGGACAACTTCAAGCAAAAAAAAAAGCTGATGGAAGACAAAGTCGACATTTAACGCACCTCATTACTCAAAGATCAGTACTGGATCTTGGAATGACCTTTCTCCTATAAATTATCGCCTAACCCTCATTACCCTTCGCCGTTAGCACTCAACCTTTTTTGAAATAGCTATGTGTAATACCATACACCGTTCTCATGATGGCTGACAAGTACACGAAGACGAGCTCACCCAGTCATTGGTTGGCACTAAAATATATAGAAGCACATGAAATGCGCTTATGGAAGAAAAGTATAGAACTGAAAAAATATTTTCCTGTTTCTTTATGGAGCGCCAAACCGGACAAAAATACTTGTATCAAATAGATTTCATACACGACTTGTTGTCAAAATATAAAACTTCTTATCAAAATATAAGACTTCTTGTCAAAATATAAGACTTCTTGTCAAAATATAAGATCGTGTCAAAATATAAAATTTCTTGTCGAAATATATAACTTGTTGTCGAAATATATGCGTAAATTGTCCAAATTCGTCCTAATTATAGGATTATATTGACGCCTGCGATCGACGGTCAGCAGCACCGAAAATGCCGAGCCTGCGGTATTATTGATTATCACGAACCCGAGTCATTAAGAGTGATTGTCAGAGAAAACCGGGCAAGGGCAAAATATCGGGGTAGGCCGATATGCACCAAATTTTCAGCAATAAAATTCGATTAGATGACGAACCATGGTAATTAAAGTTTCGTCGAGCTTTTTTTCACCTGAAATAGGCCACCCCCCTCGGTTTTGAATCGTGATCGCCCTTTGCGATGCCAAAATCTAAAGCCAAACTTCATCCTCTCAAAAGTCGATATCGCTTTCTTTCTGCAAGTTTTTAATATTTTATTTGTGAAATTTATCATATGATCGAGAAGTCCTGAGGTTTTGAGTCAAATACGATGAGTTTTTAAATTTCTACCCGGACGTGAACATTACATACAAAGCCTGTTCAATTCACGATCTGAATATGTGTCTACTTTCAAACATATTTTCTCAAAAGTGCGGCAGTATTTTTTTTATTTTATGAATCACATTTTTTTTTTAAATTACTTCTGAGCTTTCAGGAATTGTAAAGTTTCAATTGCGATCTAAAATCAAACGATCGCGAGCAACYTTCAAAGTTAACAAAATTCGCCTTCTGAATTTGCGTAATTGCGTTAAGTGTTTACATCCGTTCGACATAACACTGCGTTAATACTGACTCCCGTCTTCGACGTTGTTTACCCTTATCTAACCTATGCAATAGTTGCATGGGGAAGTTCTTATAAAACTCAACTAGAAAAATTCAATTTGAACAAAACCACATTATCAGAATATTTTTCTTTGCTACACTATATGGTAAAAATACTAATAGTGCTCTTCCATTTACCAATCTTTTAGACCTTCTAACTGTAGTCAACATCTCTAAATTACAATCACTAAGATTTATTCACCAATGGGTAACTAAGCAGCTTCCATCAATCTTTGATAATTATTTCAAATTTCCCAAGAGCATTCATAGCTATAA